GGATGCCCAGGTCACCCAGGTGACAGAGGAGGACATTTACTCTGAACCGTGCTGGATGGCCCTTCTTAAGATAGTCACTCAGAAGGCCACCTGGACCATGACCTGGGAGACCTGCCACAGAGTGAGTCCCTGTCCCCTCAGGCCTGGCCTCTCCACTCTCAGGTCAGGAGGGGAGGTGCAGGCTGGACAGTGTGGACAGCCTCGTCACCATGGAGCTGCTCTCCTGTCCCGTGTTCCGCAGTTCTGTTGGAAGGCGAGATCCTACAGGGGGCCACCAAGCAGGGGACAGTGGGTGGGTGGGAGGGTGGTCTCAGCCACCTCAAGGAAGTTCTAGGACGTGGTCCCGGGGAACACGGGGTGGGCTGGTGAGGAGGTGCAGTGGGCTCCTGCAGGCCTGGCTGGCCGCAGGCCGAGCTTTTCCTTACTGCTCTGAGAGGAGGAGGATGACGCTGACCCTGTGTCCCCCAGCAGACGGCAGGACAAGGCAAAGAGGCACTGGGGCGTGAGTGTGCCACGGCCTTCAGAAGAGAGCCCTGGAGTGACGGGAGCAAGGGCCATGAAGATGCTCGGAGCCCCCCGAGCACGGGGTAGGGTTTGGGCAACAGGCTGCGCAGGACGGCCTGCGGGGGACACCACGGGCCTGGGTGCAGAGTCCGTGTCCAGGGCAGTCGGCCTGAGATGCCAGCTGACAAAGCACCGGGGGTTTTGACCCGGCTCACACCAAGTCTCCCCAGTAAGGGGAAAGAGGTTCTAAAACCACAGTTCTTGGAATGGACTTTGAAAATCACACTTTTAGCCCACCCCAGGATTTGGATTCGCAGACTTCTTTTCTGGACTTGCCCTGGATCCAGGCAAGGAGCTGGCTTAGAGGGGTCCCACTCTGATCCCAGACTCCCCAGGCCCTGCAGAGGCTTACCCCTTGCTCCTCCTTGTAGGGTAAGTCCTCCTCTGCAGCGGGGGACCAGCCCTTTTGCCTTACCTTGGGGAGCCCAGTTCTGAAATAAGAGGGGAGACTGCCCCACACTTTCCCTGCTGGAGTTCTGGAAGCTCAGACCGAGTCCCTGTAGCCTGCAGCAAGACAGCTCTCGCCTCACTCTCTGCTCATTTCCCTGCCTCTGCCCATCAGCAGCTGTTCACCCCACACCGCTGCAGCCTGCTAGTGTCCCGTGCATAGCAGTGGCCGGTGCAAGTGTCCCTCTGCCCAGGGGGTCTGCCCAAGGGCCACTGCTTTCGTCTCTAAGTGAACCAACCCTAGCTCTGGACTGCCTCCAGTCCCTTAAAACAGACTTTGAGGTAAGGCTGTCATCTCAAGGTTTGGGGGGGTGATGAGGGAGACAGGAGAGGTAGGGAAGCAGGGGTCAGTGTAAAGGCATCATCAAGAGGGGCAGCAGTGTGGGCAGCGGAGCTCAGTCTCATGGGGGCTGCTGGGAGTCAGCGCAGGTGCATCCAGTGTAGACAAGCTGGGACATTTATACACTTCTCCTGTTATTGCTGAGATCTACCCCAGACATGGTCAGGAGACCCTCTGGTGGCTAGGAGCCATTGCATGGCAGGAGTTGGCAGCTGGCAGGTGGGGTGAGTGCTGAGGGGATGGGCAGGTGTACCGTGTCTCCAGAGACCTGTTTTTCCACCCCATCCAGCCAGGTTGATTGTCCCTTCTGGTCTGGTAGCTTCTGCTGCTCAGGTGCCAGGTCTTGCTGCAGTGTAGCCACTAGCCCAGTGTCCTCTTGTGCAAGTTTGTGCTTCGTGTTCTCTGAGTGGACACAGACCTGGCCTGAGGCGGGGTGAGGGACTCTTGACGAGCACCACTTCTGCTCTCAGCCAGGGACAATCCATACAGAAGGCCTTGCCCCTGCCTGGGCAGACTGTGGGGAGGTGTGTCCTGGGGCACCTGTGACTCCTTCTCTGAGGGATCAAGGAACTTCTCTTGGCTTGGCTTGGGTCCCCATGACTCTGGGAGTCACAGAACTCTTTCTGCTTCTTCTTCCCCCTACCTGGGGCTTTGGAGCACAAACCTGGAAGGCAAACTCTTGGTAGCCACAGGCTTCTCTGTTTCCCTCTCTGAGCTGTCCTTTGAATCAGCTTCCTGTCTGCAGCAGGAAGGAGGAGACACCCAGGGAGGAGGAGATGCTGTGTGCATGCTCATTGGCCTGGGCAGACTGAGCAGTCTCCGTGCCCAGTCTCGCCTCACACCTTGGCAGGCGCTTGCCAAGCCGGGCGAGGTCCTGTTCCTCCCCAGCGCCAAGCAAACAGCTTCCTGAAGCTGGCTCTGTGTCGTTGCTCTTCTGCAGACAGACCTGAGGCTCATAAAGGACAGGCAGCTGTCTGTATTAGCCTCTGATAAGAGGCAGAGTGAGGACGGGGTGCAGGCCCGGTTCCCAGTGCCCCTGGAGCAGGAGGGTGCAGCGTCCGTTGGCTCACACCCTGCATGCTGATGCCCCGTGGTACTGAATCTGGCACCGTGAGCGGTGTCCGTGTTGGGGTGGGCTGCTGTGTCTGCACTTCGCCCATCTGTGGTTACAGGGTTCTTTCCCACTGCTGGGTAGGGTCCCTCCGTGTTTATGTGTCACGGTTTGTTTAAATCTCTTCTCCTGTAGCTAGACACTCGGGTCATTCCAGTGTGGGGCTGTTAGGAAGAAAGCTGCTGTGGGTAGTTTTGGTTCCTGGTTGGGTGAACATAAGCCCTCACCTGTCTTGCATGTTCACCATGGATGCACACATTTGGGATTTATGAACAGGGCCTTTTTGCCAGGGTGGCTGTATTCACTTCATGAACCATGTACACAGGTTCTAGCTGCCACATCCGTGACAGAACTAGGATCTTTGGTCCTTTTAATACTAGCTGTTTTTGGGTGAATGGGGTCAGTGATGACTTATTATTTACATGAAAGGTGTGAGAGTGGCCTGTGGTGAGGGTCAGAGCTTCCAGGGATGCATGAGCCTGAATCTATGCCTTGCTGGGAGACAGTGACATTTCAATGGGCCCAGGAATGTGAGAAACACACTCCCCTGCCCAAACCCAGATAATGGACTTGGAGACACAAGGTACAGCGGAAGAGAGACTTTAATGATGGTCTTGCAAGTTGGTTACCCAAACAATTCATTCCTGAAACTTGGGTTTCTCCCCCGGTTCCTCATAGGCTGAGTACCTGCGGGGTTACAATCTTCCTGAATGTGCCTAAATTTCCTTATGAGCTCATTCCCTTTTTAGTTGGCCCCTGAACCAATCCAATCTAAATGTATCTCTCTGAAAAAGGGTGTGTGGGGGCTGACTTTGGACCTGTCAAGCCTGGGTGTACCAAGGCCGCACCAAAGTGGGGGCTCATCCTGAAGTCTGCTGGTGCAAGGCAAGGACATGCGGACAGCTCGCTGCGGTTTCGCTCTCTGCAGTTGTCACGTTAGTAAGCTGTTGTGCAAACTGGCTTCCAGTGACCCTCCATCACAAGCTGAGCCTTGTGCATCTTTTAAACTAAATATCTTGCTTTGAAAGTAGACCATCAAGTGGCTGGGATTGTGGCTCAGTGGTAGAGCGCTCACCTAGCATGCGCGGGGCCCTGGGTTCGATCCTCAGCACCACATAAAAATAAATGAATGGAATAAAGGTATTGTGTCCAATGACAACTAAAAAAATAAATATTTTTTTTAAAAAGAAAGTAGACCATCAAATATTTTATTCCTCACAGGAGAAAAACAGATATAGCAGAGAAGCCATGTACCCAGACACATTGGGGTGACAGCTGAAATATTCAGCAGGAAGAGCACCGCCCAGGCAGTATGGGTGCTGCCCGGGGAGCGCGTGCGTAGGTCGTGCATGGCTAGAAGCTCATTTTGTTGTTTTTCCAGAGACTGAACCCAGTGGCACTTGACCACTGGGTCACACCCCCAACCCTTTTTACTTTTTGATACAGGGTCTCACTAAGTTGCTTAGGGCTTTGCTAAGTTGCTGAGGCTGGTCTCAAACTTTTGATCCTCCTGCCTCAACCTCTCCAGTGGCTGAGATTGCAGAGGTGCCTTACCACACCCAGCGTGGGTCATGATCTTAAAGGTCAGATAATGGAGCCCAGAAATCTGACAAGTTCCTGCAAGTATCCTGTTTGTTCTTTGGCAGGAGCAGTGCAGGGGGTAGCTCCTTACAGCTATACTTGCTCATGACCCTTTGGGCAACCAAGATAATTTGAGTATTATAACCAGCCTGAAAATATATCTCAAAAGTGGGGAAAGATCTAACCATTTGCAAGAAATACAAATTGGAGCTCAAGGTAACTTAAGGAACACAACTGGAGAGGCAGGAGGCATCGGGTTTTACAGGAATATCGGACACACTCCTGTGTCTGTTTCAGCAACCACTCAAGCCACACACCTGAGAGTGAGGGTGCAGGCGGGAGGCCCCCAGTTTCCAAGGGCGTCCAGTCTCTGAAGGACAGCTACCAAATCTCAGCCTTCAAACCCAGGATGCTCAGTAGACAGTTCTCTAACAGCCATGGTTTCTGGTTTCTGGCCATCGTAGGGTTGCCAGATTCAGCACAAGAACACGCGGCACCCAGCCTTACTGGAGTTTCAGGCCACACAGCTAAGGGTCACACTGTCCCGGAAGCCGTCCTTCTGGGGCTGCATGTGTAGCCCTGCCGGCCGCTGCAACCTCCCTCTCTCCTTACAGGGGACGGAGACCCTGGCTGGGGAGCCCCGTGGGCGCACGAGCTCGCGCTGCAGATAGGGTGAGTGGGCTCCCCTGGGGCGCGGGCGGTGGGCTTCCGGTCGATGTCCACGCAGGCCAGGGCAGCATACGGCTCGCGAGGACCGCGCTCCGCGCTCCCTGGCCCTGTCCGCACTGCCCTGCCGCGAGAGCCAATCAGCCACCAGCTGGGCGCACGTGCGCCAGGGCGCGGGCCCATTTGCAGGCGGGAGCGGTTGGAAGCGGGGGCAGTGGGGGCAGCGGGGCGCTTCACCGTGAGGCTTGCGCCACGGCCACGCTGCGCCCGGTGCACTCGCCAGGGCGCGTCATGACGGGCGAGGGCCGTCGCTTGGCCACCCGAGGCCGCGCCTGTGACTGCCCCCCGGGCGCACGGGGCCGACGTCTCACGGCACCGGAAGTGTCCACATAGTGTTCCGGGGCGGCTGAGTTTAGCTGTGCACCCAGGCCCTACCCCCGTCTCCCAGCTTCGCTCTCTGGCCGGCCTCCCTCACTACGCAAGGTGACCCCCAAGACCTGGAGCGTCCTCGTGGTCAGAGGCGCACCGCAGTGAAGCAGTGTCCTACGGCTCCTGGCCAGTCCGGCGCACGGCCCGATGGAGGCTCACGGGGCAGACGGGAGTGGGGACGCCATTCTGAGCCCATCTCCAGGGCTACCTTCCAGGCCGGAGCGGTGGGTTTGGCCCACCTGGACTAGGTGGCTGATAGGGCCAGGCCCAAGGAAAGAGCAGAGCTGGCCTCACAGAAGGGACGTGGGTGGCGCAGGGCAGCCCCTCCACTGTCTTGGAGCGTTAGCTGGGGCAGTCGCGCTCAGTGACCTGAAGCTGTTACTGTAAATGAAACAGCAATTATAGGATCCTTCCATTAGTGACCAAACCTGGAAACATGGTTTCCAAGATCCGGCTGTGAGGGACATTGGGCTTTGCTTTGTGCTCCGTTTACACCTGCTGGAGACCCCATCTGACCATCATGTCCAAGCTGGAGCCCAGCTTTTGCACTGGAGTGTGCTCACTGTGGAGGAGGGCATTCACCCTCAGCGCCCAGCAAGCCTGGGGTATCTGATAAGGAGGGCCCTAGGTGGGGCAGGCGGGTGACTGGCAGCCCCATTTTGGAAAGTTCTCCAGAGTTGAAACACTGGTCTTTCCTGCCCAGCTGGGCGCAAGGTTAGCTGAGAGCCTTGAAGCAGGTTGGCTGGGGGTGCTGGTTCCCCCAGCATCACCCCACACTTCCTCAGCTCAGAGGACGGGGCTTCACCCTTGGGGTGGTGCCGAGTTCCGGCTCAGCAGACCCACACCCTCTCCTAGCACCTGGCCCCCGTTTACACAGAGCCCCTCTGCTCTTCTTTTCTAGGAAGAGCACATTTCAAACCTTCAGGAGAGAAGTGCACTCCCCAGGTGGTTCGGTGAGGGAACAAGCCCTGTGCTGCTTTGCCCGACCCTGTGGAGTGGGAGAGTGAGGGCGGGAGTCCAGGGCTGCATCGTGACAGGGCCGTGTGTGGTTATGGGGCATCCGTGACCCTCCCACCATCCCTCCCCAGGCCCTCACGCTCCTCGCTGTGTCCAGAAGCCCAGGAGCACCAGAGACCCCCGGGGGCCTGCTCCAGGCCCTGACTTCTTACCTACCCTTTCCTTCCCCCTAGAGTAGGAAGAGCTCTGTGTGGAGCGACACAGAGGAACCCCAGGAGCAGCCAGCTGCCCTCGTCCTCTGGGGTGGACTCTGCTGTCGTTGGGGGGCTCCCCGAGCGTGCAGCCTGCCTCTGTCAGAGGAGTTGTAGTAGGGGCGCCTGCCCTGTCCCCCCCCCCAACTCTGCTGGCCCTGACCACTAGTCCAGGCAGGGCCTCAGCTCACGTTGCCGCGTCCCTCATCCCTCCTTGCCTGCCTCTTGCTCAGGTGTGCCTGGGCCACTGCACTCTCCTCCGGGAGCCCGTCTGCTGTGAGTGCCAGGTCAAGTTCCAGGGCCACTGGCCTGTGCCCAGGGCTGAGGCAGCACTGCCGTACTGGGTCCCTCTGTCCCTGAGACCTCGAAAGCAGGTAGGTGGCTGGTCAGGGTCTTCACCTGGGCCCGGGTGACTGTCAGGGGTCTCACCTCCTCAGGATTATAAGCATTGTATGAATGACACTTTTGTGTGTGGTTGTTTTTTCTTTTTTTGGTATGAGGGATTGAACCCAGGTGCACTTAACCGCTGAGCCACACCCCCAGCCCTTTTTATTTTGAGACAAGGCCTCGCTAAGTTGCTGAAGCTGGCTTTGAACGTGTGATCCTCCTGCCTCAGCTTCTTGAGTTGCTGGGTTACAGATGGGTGTCATGGTGCCTGGCTGAGTTGTGTGTCTTAAACAGATTTTTCTTTCTTTGGTACCGGGGATTGAACTCAGGGGCACTAGACTCCTGAGTCAAATCTCAGCCCTATTTTGTATTTTGTTAGAGACAGGGTCTCACTGAATTGCTTAGGGCCTCACTAGATTGCTGAGGCTGGCTTTGAACTCACGATCCTCCTGCCTCAGCCTCTAGAGTCACTGGGATTACAGGCGTGGGCCACTGCACCCGGCCTGTTTTAAACAGATTTTTAAAGCACTGTATCTGTGGGCGTATGGGTGACATGGGTAAGCTGCCTGGGTGTGCAGTGTGTGAGCCTTGGCACGTACGTCCCCAGCAGAACTGCAGCAGGTCAAGGCAGCAGCTCGTGCGCAGCCCCGGGAGACCGCCTAGAGCAGTGTGTGTCTGCCGGACGGTCCAGCCCCAGGCCCCAGGCAGCTGCTGATGTGCTTGTCCGGTGGCTGGTCTGTGTTTCCGAGGCTTTTATGTAACTGAAGTGTGCCTTGGCTGTGTTCGCAGAGTCCTGTGTCGTCACTGTGGGGCTCTGCCACGCGGCGTGTGCGTGGGTGGCACTGTCACTGCCGAGTGGCGCTCCTCCATGTGGAGCGACCACGCTCCTATGGAAGGATGTCCAGCTGTTTCCACGTTTGCTCTGCTACAGGCAAAGCCGCTGTGGCCTTTGTGCTCGGGTCTTTAGGAGGACGATGCTTTCGCTCTCTTGGGTAAAGGCTTAGTCGTAGAGCGGCTGGATGGGAAGGTGGTGTGTGATGACTTATTTCCAGTGCCGGGATGAGCCCAGGGCCTGGCCTGTGCTGCCCTCTTCCACTGGGCTGTCCCTGCTCTGAGCTCCACTTCCTTTTTAGGTGGCGGTGCTGTTCAGGGCCCCAGGTCCTTTGCCTTCTCAGTCACTTTTTAATTTTCATGATTTTTTCCCTTTTTGTGGTCCTGGAGGTTGAGCCTGGAGCCTTGAGCACTCTAGGAGAGCGTGCTGCGAGTGTGCTGTGTCACCAAGCCCAGTCTGTCCCTTTACCAGGTGTGGGTGGCCTGCAGTTCATACTTGTGTTCTGTGAGGACTGAGCCTATCAAAGATCTCTCCATCTCCCCCCTCTTCTGGCGGCACCAGGGATTGAACCGGGGCCTAGCGCACACCAGGCAGAGGCTCTCCCGGGAGCCCGTCCCCGCCCCGGCCACACGCCTCACCATCTGCATGTCATACTTGGCAGTGTCTGTGCAGATACTTTGTTGGTTTAAACGAGGGGGTTGTTTGTTTCCTTCTTAGTTTTCAGAGCTCTTTATTTATTGTGGCTACAAGTCCCTTGTCAGCTGTTTGTGACTGTCTCTCCATGTCTTTGGCTTGACTTCTGATTCTCCTGTCGGTATCTTTCAAAGTGAGGAGCTGTAGGTTGTGCTGAAGTCCAGCTCGGGAGCTTGGTGTGCTCTGCACCATGCTCAGGTGCCCACCTGGCCCCTTGAGAAAGGGCACTTTGTGCTGTGGCGAGACCAGGCTCCTCTGATGGAGGGGGCAGCATGTGATGGTTGTGTGGCAGTCCATAGCCTTCCACAGTGACGTCCGCGGGTGTCCATGTGCACAGGTCTCAGTGGGCATGGGCAGTCCGTCCCCCTGCACTTACCTAGCACCCTCTGACTGGACTCACTGACACTTTCTGGGGACGTCGTCTTAGCCCAGAATGTTTTCCCAACTCAGTCCATTTTCTTGTTCTCTCCTGCTGGACAGTGCTGGGCCATGCTGGGCTATGCTGGGCCGTGCTGGGTTGTTCGGGGCAGTGCTGGGCCGTGCTGGGCCGTGCTGGGCAGGGTTGGGCAGTGCGCTCAGGAGCAGGACAGAGGCTGGTTTGTTTCTAGTCCAGCAGCTGCTGTGGAGATGGGCCCATGCTGAAGAGGTGGGCAGGTGGGCAGGGTCCTTGTCCTCCAGGGTGAAAGGACCCCAGACAGGAGCTATCTGGGGCCATGGTGAAGAGAGGGACAGAGATGGAGGGGTGTTGGTTTTTGTCCCCTGAGAAGGGTGCCTGGCTGTGGTCACTACTGACAGGAGTGCAGTGGACATTCCCATGTGCCCATTGCAGTGCAAACTGTTCTGATAGGAAGTGTCCCTAGGAGTGGAAATCTGGATCACAAGTGATGTCCACTCAGAACGCCAGCAGAGCCCTCTTCATAGCTGAGCGTGTGGAGATGCAGAGTGGCCGGTGCCCAAGGGCCCCAGCTGGGGACCCAAGGCCCAGGATGTAGCTGCTCCTCCAGCCGCAGCCTGTGTGTCCTGCGGACGGTGGCAGGCAGACCTCAGAGGTCCTGTGGGTCATCAGAGAGGGGCATCCGAGCTCCTTGGCCCAGGAGGTTGGGGTGCCTGTGACGGGGCTGCAAGAGGGGCCTCCCGGGGCCTGTCCTGCTGGGTGTCCTTCCAGAGCGTTCTCTCGCCTTCCTCTGGTAGATCCCCAGGATGGTCCGGTTTTGTATCCCCAAAGCCACCAAGACCTGCGCCTGCCCGTGCCACCACTTTGGGGGCCGCCTCCCGCTGCCTAGGACCAAGGCCGTGATGCCATACTGGGTGCCGCGGGGGCTGAGGTCTCAGAGGAAGGTGAGAAGAGACTGGCATAGCAGTGGGGCTGGGGGGGCGCCGAGGTGAGGGGTGCAGGCGGGAGCCTCCCCACAGAGCCAGGGAGAGTCGACCTGCGACCTGTGACCTGCGTGGGTTCTGGTGACTGCTGGGTGGCCCTGTGAGCAGGGCGGAGGTGTGGCACTCCTGCCGTGGGTCCCTCCCCCTCCTCCCTCTCCCCCTCCTCCCTCTCCCCCTCCTCCCTCTCCCCCTCCTCCCTCTCCCCCTCCTCCCTCTCCCCTCCTCCCTCTCCCCCTCCTCCCTCTCCCCTCCTCCCTCTCCCCCCCTCCCCTTCCTCCCCCTCCCCCTCTCCCCTTCCTCCCTCTCCCCTCCCCCTCTCCCCCTCTCCCCTTCCTCCCTCCCTCCCTCCCTCTCCCCCTCTGCTTGCTGCCTCCTCTCCCCCCTCCTCCCACTGTCCCCCCTCCTCCCTCTCCTCCCTCTCCCCCTCCTCTCTCTCCCCCTCCCCCCTCCCCTTCCTCCCTCTCCCCCTCCTCTCTCTCCCCCTCCCCCCTCCCCTTCCTCCCTCTCCCTCTCCTCCCTCTCCCCCTCCTCCCTCTCCCCCTCTGCTTGCTGCCTCCTGTCCCCCCTCCTCCCACTGTCCCCCCTCCTCCCTCTCCTCCCTCTCCCCCTCCTCTCTCTCCCCCTCCCCCCTCCCCTTCCTCCCTCTCCCTCTCCTCCCTCTCCCCCTCCCCCTCTCCCCCTCCTCCCTCTCCCCCTCTGCTTGCTGCCTCCTCTCCCCCCTCCTCCCTCTGTCCCCCCTCCTCCCTCTCCCTCTCCCTCTCCTCTCCCTCCCCTCCCCTCCCCCTCCCCCTCCTCCCTTTCCCCCTCTGCTTGCTGCCTCCTCTTCCCACCTCCCCCTACTCTCCTCACCCCTCCTGTCTCTCCTCTCCCACCCCCAGCATCCTGCGGAGGCCGCGGGAGGGCTGGCCCTGGGCTTCCTGTCCTCTTGCCCTGACTGTCCACACCCCCACGCAGGCCCTCCTCCCCAGGGGCCTTCGCTCCTCCTCCCTCCTCCTGCATTCCACATGCTGGTTGTCCAGCCTGGACCGGCTGGCTGTCCCCAGAGAGGACCTGCAGGCCCTAGCATGGGGGCTCTGGCCTCCCCTCTGGGGGTCCCTGGGCTGTCGCGCTCGCCCCTTCTTGTCTTTTAGGTGGTGAGGAAGCAGCGGAATCTCAAGGCCCTGCAAGGTGACTCGGCCAGCGGGTGGCTCACCTCCCCCTCCCTGGGAAGGGGGTCCCAGGAGCCTCGTGGTGGGAGGGGAGGGTGCGCTCCCCCAGACGTCTGCGGAACAGGGGACCTTGCTGTGCCTCCCTGCCACCAGGGGTCAGCACCACCCACGGCCCTTTCCCAGTGTCCCAGGGGGCTGCAGCTGCCCCTTGCTGGGCTGGGCAGGGTCTGCAGTGTTTCAGCGGCAGGCTCCTCAGCCCGAGGCGTGGTGTGCGTGCGTGCGTGTGATCATGAGTGTGTACCGTGATCGTGGCGTGGCCCACGTTCCTACCTGTGACCCGCCATGTGCTCAGTCTCCCTTCACGGTGTGCTGGATGCTCAGGGCGGTTCTCAGGCTTATGCTCACCGCCTCCCTGTGACCAGCCAGGCAGGCACGTGTGCTCGCGCTGGGCGTGGCCTGGGCTCTGCACAGAGTGTGTTCACACGTGCGTATGGAGCGTATGTAGGTGTCCAGGTCTAGTGGCCTGGTGCCTGGGAGAAGCTGTCCTCTCTGTGCTGCATTTGCAGAGCGGGCTGCCCTGTCCTGAGGGCGTTCCCTGCAGAGGGCGGCGGGCCAGCTCGGCTGGTGCGCGTCCTTCCCTGGGGCACCGTGCGGGCTCTGCGCAGTGAGTCCCCCGACAGGAGGGCTGGTGCTCTGGGACGGTGAGGGGCTCTCTGGGGACTCCCAGAGGCACGGTGGGGGGGGGAGCGCCTGGGAAGGGCCGTCTTCATGATGCGAACACAGGTACTGGCCACTGGTACTGCCCCACTGGCAAAAGCAGTGCTCAGGAGCAGACTTTGTCCGGCCCCTGTGTGGGGCAGTTGGGGTTATCTGTCCTCCTTACAAGCAAGCTCTGCGCAGAAACGGCTCGTGGAGACTCTCCACACGCTCCCATCCTCAGCAGGGACCCCCGAGCGTGATACGGAGTGAGCAGCAGTGCCCACCAGCGGTGCTCAGGAGGAGAATGGCCACAAGGGTGTGCCTGAGACACGGCACCTGCCTCCCAGGGAGGGAGTGTGAGCAACAGGGAAAGGGACCGGTGAACTGCCTGGGGATGCTTTGGGGAGAGCCCAAGGCATTGCTCCCAGGAAAATATGCACAGCCGAGTCCCAAAACAGGGCTCCACCAAGGTGGGCGCGGTGGCACACCTGTAATCCCAGCTACTCAGGAGGCTGAGGCAGGAGGAGCATGAGTTGGAGGCCAGCCTCAGCAACTCAGAAATGCACAGAAAGGAAAAAAAAAGCAAATTGTGGAGCCCTGTGCACAAACTGTCGTGTTAGGCCAGTGTCAGTTTCCACCGCAGGCGTGGTCTTCTGGCTCGGGCAGTTGTGCGGAGCGTGATTCTAGCCTCAAAACTGGCCAAGCCAGGAGGCCGGCGGCGCTGAGGCGGGACAGGAGCACACGTCTCCTCGCTCCTGCGAGCACAGGACTGTCGTCCCCTCCAGCGTCCGGCACAGGTCTGAGTGTTGGGGGTGCTTTCCTTGGCCTCAAAGTCAACTGATGTCCACTTTGGAGAGGAAGTCTGTATTTTTCTTGTAACCGGGACTTCTGTGCTTCTTGGGTCTATGCCTTTGTGGCAGAACGTCCCCGAGGAGAGTGCCTTTACGGTCTCTCAGGCTGGGGTGCTCCCGTGTTCACATGGCGGGCTTCCTGTCCATAGCATCGCGGGGCCACGCGCAGGCCACGTGGTCCTGAAGGGTCAGGGTGGAAGCTTGAGCTGCTGTGGGGTGAACACTGGAGCCCCCCACGATGGCGGGAGTCGCGTACCGCCAGGGGCTGCCTGGGCACGCACAGGTGGCGGCTACACGCACGGGTGGTGGCTACACGCCAGGGCATCTGTGTGGACAGTCCACGCCCCTGGCCATGGGGAGGAAAGGGCAGGAGGGAACGGAGCACTGAGGAGGGGACGCCGCGGAGGTCCCTGGTGCTCCCAGAAAGGCTCCTGTGCTGTGCGGAAGGCGGCCCTGACGTGGCCGCGAGTGGGCCCCGGGAGGACGCAGCCGGGGATCATGGCAGGTCTGCTCTTGGCTTCGTCACGGGCGAGGACTGTTGGGAAGACGTCGCTGGGCCGTGGGTTTCCGGGCGCTGGGACCCTGGGGAAGCATCCTGCAGCCCGAGCTCTCCTGCTGGTCCCCGCAGGCCTGTCCCCAGGGCTCTGATTTGCTGGTGTCCTGAGGCCGCCCGGCCCCTCCCTGCTGGACAGTGATTTGGAGCAGATCCCAGGCAGAGGTGACCCAGGGCACCTCAGAGGCTGCAGGCCACGCTGCGAGGCTACCCTGCTCCGTGGCGGCTTGGGGGGACCAGTGCCCGCTCACGCCCAGCCCTCCTGCCCTAGACACCCCCCTGGACGTGCGCTCCCGGCACAACCGCTGGCGGATCTGCAGCAACGGGCGCCCCCTGGCCAAGTGGCAGCGGCTGCAGGCCATTGAGCAGGATGAGCTGCTGGCCCTGGGGAGGGCAGTCGGCCCCCCGGCCCCGTTCCCGACCCTCCTGCAGGCCCTCCTGAGAGTCGTCATGTCCATGCGGTGAGCAGTGGGGCTGGGGTGGCCTGGGCCCGTGCTCACTGTGGCGTGCTTTGTCCTGGGAAGTCAGGCACAGGAACGCCCGCCCGGCTCTGGTACCCAGAGTCCTGCCCACTCCTGCCCACCTCCCAGCCCTGCATCTCATTCTGTCCAGAACGGCCTCCGTCGTGGTGGTGACCTGTCTCCGGCAGGGCCTGGCTGGCTTCTGGCCCAGCTCTCAGGGCCCAAGGGCCTGTATCAGCTGGACGTTGGCAACAGGCCTTGTTTGGCTGGGTGCGGGGGATGCCTGAGGCCCTCTAGCCACGTGCCCAGCTAGGCTCGGGGTGCCAGGGCTACCCATCTGGTGGACACTGGGCAGCGTGAGGGCTCAGAGCCTTCCCAGCAGGGAGTGGGGAGCAGGACGGGAGTGGCAGCTGCATTCCCTCTCCCTGTGCAGCCTGCGGCTGGGTCCTCGGCCCTCCCGGGCGCGGGCTGCTCGGGCTGAGCCACTGGCCCTGCCCGGCGGCCGGAAGGCAGTGCAGCCAGGACTGCTCCTCTGCGGCTGCGCCCCCCGAGTCCCTGAGCGCAGTGGGGCTGTCCACGCCCGAGAGCCTGGACGAGGGCACCAAGGCTGCGGTCTCAGGCTGGGCAGTTCCTCTCCCTGCAGCCATTATTTTTGGATCTGAAGTTGGACTGTCCACTGCTGTCAGCACACCCACAGAAGACCAGCCACGGCCTCCGCCACCTCCGCAGCCGGGAGCGGCCTATGACCCCACTGTCTGCCTGTTCATCTAGTTCACACCCAGATTCCGTCCACGGGACTGGTCAGGTGACTCTATTTTAGTGAGTTGGTGTGAAATCGGGTGAGATTCTGGTGTGAACACAGCCAATAAAAGTTATTTGAGAAACTCTAGGCTGGCCTCTTCAGTGATGACCGTGGCTCCCTCAGTAAGGAGGGCTCCTTCTCCACTGCTGTCCTGGGAGGAGAGCCGGTTCTGCGTCCCCCCGGACAAGGCACAGCACGTCCACTGGGGGAGGGCCTGCTTCAGGTGGGTCTCAGCCTTGGCTTTTTAGAGATCCACAATCCACGTGTTGTAACTTCCACCCCCCGAGGCCTGCGACCAAGTGGTCTCACTGTGTCACCATCCGACCGCGCACTCGTCCTCCCTGGGCACCAGGAGTCTGCTCTCTGTCTCTGACCTGCCTGCTGGGCACCCTCCCTGGGCACCAGAAGTCTGCACTCTGTCTCTGACCTGCCTGCTGGGCACCCTCCCTGGGCACCAGGAGTCTGCTCTCTGTCTCTGACCTGCCTGCTGGGCACCCTGCGTCTGACGGGCATCGTGCCCTCCGTGGCTGGGTCTGGCCCCTTCACTCGGTGTCTTGATTCCAGGGTCATCCACGGTGCAGTGTGGGTCACAATGCCAGTCCTCTTGGTGACTGAGTGATAGCACGCTGTGGGTGTGGCCCTCTTGCCCTCTGTCATCAGCAGCAGACCTGGGGGACGTGGTGGTGTCCCGGCCTGTGGTCACGGCTCTGCTCCAGGACCCTGGGAGCATTTGGCCCCGTTGTTCTAGGTCTGTCCCCTGTGCTCCAGGGATGTGACGCTGGGGCCGCACCACTGTCCTGTCCAATGCAGTGACGAACTCGCCATGGTCCCCGCTGAAGCACACCTGGTCTCTGCACCCTCTGCCTGTGGGCGTTGTCGGGTGCGGCCTGCGGTGCCAGAGAGGGCACAGTCTCAAAGTCTCTGTGGAGTGGCTGTGGTGTGACTGTCCAGGGGTGGGAAACACGTTTTTGTAGTAACTGGGCCTCAGGGAGCCCAAAGAACACCCACCTGCCCACTTACCCATGCACATACTTGCCCACCTGCCCTCCCACTCACCAGCCTGCCCGCCTACCTGCTACCTGCCCACCTGCCCACCCAGGTGTCTACCTGCTCATCTACCTGCCTATCTGCCCACCCATGCACCTGTCTATCTGCCCACCTGTCTACCCACTCACCTGTCCACCTGCCCACCCACTCACCTGCCTGCCCGCCTACCTGCTACCTGCCCCCCACCACTTACCTACTCACTAACTTTACCTGTCCCCCCACGTACCTACACACCAACCCACCTTCCTGCTCCTGGTCCACCCATGTGTCTACCTCCCCACCCGTCCACTCCCTTACCCCTCCCTCTTTCTCCCTGCCCCCCACCATTTACTGAGCAATGGTGCGCAGCCCAGCCCTGTCCAGTTAACTCTGATGGTGGAAGTATCCGCCTGTGCTTCCCAAGACAGCCACCGGCCACATGTGCCTGTTGGACACTTGAAACACGGCCACTGGAGATCTGGATTTTAATGGGCGTTTGTCCTCTTAGGTTTATGTGTAAACAGGCCCAGGAGCCCAGAGGCCAGCGTGTGTGACGGTGCAGCCGAGGCTTGGTGGTCAGGGCTGCCCTCCCCAGCAGATGGACCAAGGCCCTGCGCCAAGCCTTTGTGGCTTTCTAGAATGCTCCATGAGTCTGGTGGGTGCCGCGGACATGCCGGTCTGGATGCTGTCCTTCCTAACCTCATCCCTGCTTTGGGGTGAGGGCAGTGGTCCCCCCGACATTGTAAACTGGCAGAGCTGAGGTTCGGGTATGCTGGCCTGGCCGCACTGGACCAGCCAGGGGTGGCCGAGCCTCCTGGGCAGTGTGGGAGAGAACCGGGGGCCTGGATGTGGAGGGAATGAGGGTTTGGGAGGGTTCAGGAACCTGCCCAAGGTCACAGAGGTCTTGAAGCAGGAGTGTGGCCCAGAGGCCAGCTCCACCTACTATACCCTTGCCCCAGGCCTCAGGCAGGGCCAGCGGTGCGTGGAGGACACCAGTGGCCAGTGGGGGAGCCCTGAATCATCCTGGACTGACCTCTTGGTGTCCAGGCTCCGTGGTGCTTCTGAGAGGTCAGGAGCTACCTGGGCCTCCCCGCCTCCCTCTCCCAGGACCCTCTGCACATCCCCCCCTCACTGTGAGCAGCCACGTCCTGCCGTGCGGGCAGTGATGCCCACGGGTGTTCACTGGGCTCTGTCTCCGCAGAGGACAGAATGGCGGAGGTCCCTCGTGGGCCCCGGGCAGAGGGTCATCCGTCTGTGTGTGGATCTTGCTTTAAGGATGGGGAAGTGGCCTTAGAGAGAGGAGTGTGGTTACGCAGCCAAGTGACGGAGCTGGATTCAAAACAGCCCCTTCTGGTCCTAAAGCCCCTGCCGTGGCCACATACGATCCCACTCCCAGGAGCCCCGTCAAGACTCTGGTGGCAGAAGACCCCACTTCACCCACCCCAAGCAAAGGGATCTTGTTCCTGGTCCTGGTCTGGGGACTTCTTTGTCTCTCTCCTGGACTTGGGTGTGCCACAGTGACCTCGGTCTGCTGAGACCATCCAGCTCCTCCTCTGGACTGAGTCCACTGGCTGCTCAGCAGGAGCTTGTATACAGTCGGCACACAATGGTGGCTTCATTGAGTGAGTGAATTCCAGAGCTCCAGCCCTGTGCCGGGAAGTACCATGCTGTTTTTTGTGGGGGTGGCCTGTTGACCAGCGGGCACCAGGAGCTGGGCTCCCGTGTGGCCATGGGGGATCAGGCGTGCCTGAGGGACAGGGTGAGGGCTGGGGCCACTGGCGGCTTGCAGATGGCCTGCCTTGCCCACCCAGCCCGGGCTGTGCCTGCCCAGCTCCTGGGCAGCTTCCCAGGTCTTTAGGACTGACCCTGCGATGGGCTCTCATGCCAGGGCTGGGGTGGGCAAGAGCCCCGGTGGCTCAGCCAGGCCTCTGGGGCAGGGCGGAAGCTTGGGTTTGCCTGGTGCACCCCGTCCTTGGGGCCCCTCTGACGGCTCTTATTGCCTGGCCCTTCAGAGTGCCCCCAGGTACCCGTGTTGGAGACCTGGCATCTGGGAGGGTGGGGGACTCGCCGTCCCCCCTCACCATGGGTGTCGTAGCCAAAGCTGCACAGCAGGCGGCTGGCAGGGCAGGACTTGAACTTGGGCCTCCCGCCTCCCACGCAGGCCGCCTCCTGTTCCTGGAGCCACCTCCTCCTTCCCCAGGAAACTCTGTCCACCCGCCCTGCAGGTGAGTGGCAGAGTGGTGGGCTTCACACGGAGTCAGCCCTGAGCTTGGCCCGGAGCTCGGGGCCAGTCAGCCAGGTCTGCCTCGGGCCACTGCTCACCTACCTACCCACTGCTCACCTACCCGCCCACTCCTCACCTACCCGCCCACCTGCTCACCTACCCGCCCACTCCTCACCTACCCGCCCACCTGCTCACCTACCCGCCCACTCCTCACCTACCCGCCCACCTGATCACCTACCCGCCCACTCCTCACCTACCCGCCCACCTGCTCACCTACCCGCCCACTGCTCACCTACCCGCCCACCTGTGACTCTCGCTGTGCCGGGCGCCTGTGGAGTTGGAGATCGCTGTTGTCTCTGGTGGGTGTCCTACTCGGGCTCCTGGGGACCCCCTGGAGGGATTGGGATGTCACTTTTTCACTTCTCCGTTCCCAGAGTGGCAGCCCTGACTGGGGCACCTTCTAATGCTAGAACAGGAAGCCTTAGGCTGACCCGTGAGCAGAGGAAGGTGCTGGCATTGCGGAGCAGGGCCCAGGTGGCTGTCTCAGCACCACGCAGCGAGACAGTTGTCTTCTCAGACACCCACAGCTGAGGGAGTCCCAGCCATGGGCCCCTGGGCCCCGGGGAATGAGGGGTCCTCAGCCAACCTCGCCTGAGCTCAGTCCTGAGTTTACCCCCATGTTAAACAGCCTGGGCTTGGGGCTGGGGGCACCAGGCCAGGGTTAGGCACATGGTCCCTGAGAGACGAGGGTGAGGCAGAGCCTCCCACCTGTGTGCCTCAGCAGCCTCTGCCTCCACCTGCCACTCTGTCTCAGCCATGCCCACCCCTCCCTCCTCCCTCCAGAAACCATTTTATGTATAAAAACAGGTTTATGAATCTGAAAAATCAAAGGACAAAGGTCTTTAAAAACGTAGCCACAGGCTGGGCACAGTGGGGCATGCCTATAAGCCCAGCTGCTCAGGAGGCTGAGGCAGGAGGATCTCAGGTTCAAGGCCAGCCTCAGCAACTTAGTGAGAACTTGTCTCAAAATAAAAAATGAAAAGGGCTGGAGATGTGGCTCAGTGGTCAAACACCCTGGGTTCAATCCTCAGTACCCAAACCAAACCAAACCAAACCCCAAACCCAAAACCCAAAAAACAAACAACACACAAAAATCGTAGCCGCAGTGCACAGCCTCTCTCCTCTGTCCCTGGTGGTGTCCTCAGAGCTGCTTCCTGCCATTTAACACCTGGGTGACGAGCTGTTCCACCTCCATGTTGTTTACTGCCTTCTTCATGGGCATGGCATGGGGTGACGTTGATTTCAGAGAACTCTAATGACGTGTGTGTATGCGGGACTACTCATCATCTATCCATCCATGCGCCCATTATCTACCTGTCCATCCACCTACCCATCGTCTATCCATCCATTTACCCATCATCTATCCATCCACCTACCCATCACCTACCATCCACCTACCCATCAACTACCATCCACCTACCCATCATCTATTCATCCACCTACCCATCATCTACCATCCACCTACCCATCATCTACCATCCACCTACCCATCATCTATTCATCCACCTACCCATCATCTATTCATCCACCTACCCATCACCTACCATCCACCTACCCATCAACTACCATCCACCTACCCATCAACTACCATCCACCTACCCATCGTCTATCCATCCATTTACCCATCATCTATCCATCCACCTACCCATCACCTACCATCCACCTACCCATCAACTACCATCCACCTACCCATCATCTATTCATCCACCTACCCATCATCTATTCATCCACCTACCCATCATCTACCATCCACCTACCCATCAACTACCATCCACCTACCCATCATCTATCCATCCACCTACCCATCAC